GACTGCCTCCGCTCTGTCCAGCAGCCAGTCATTACAGGCCAATTTCCTCTGGCCTTGGACCATTAGAGGCAGAGAGAGACCAGGCAGTGAAGGAAGGTGCAAGTGAGTGCTGACGGTAGAGCCCACCTAAAATGGGAATTAGCCTCATCTGTCCTTGTATTGCGTTGCAAGAGCCGACACTCAATCAGCAGCAGCCACCTAGCAGGTGACAATTTTTGTAAGAAAAATGAGTCTCCAGCCAAGGCAATCAGACAAGTGCAGATGCCAGAGAAAAGTCAAGTTCTCATTTGGAAACCTTAGAAACAGATTGGCTGAACGTGGGGGAAGAAGCTTTTCTATCAAGTCTCTCTCAATGGCAGTCATGGGGCATCTTCTTCATAGGAATGTCTAATGTCATCCGATCTCTCTATCTCTATTCTAGAACATAGGTCTGAAGGCACCTGGGTGCCTCAATGGGTTAAGCCTCTGCCTTCAGCTCAGGTCATGATCTCAGGGTCCTGGGATCGAGCCCCACATCGGGCTCCCTGCCCAGTGGGGAGGCTGCTTTCCCCCTCTCTCTGCCTTCCTCTTTGCCTACTTGTGATTCCTCTCTCTGTCAAATAAATAAATATATTAAAAAAAAAAAAAAAGAACCAGTTCTGGAATTCCACTGCTGTCTTTTTTTTTTTTTTTTTTTTTGATGAAGTACCTTGGTCTAATTATTTCTATCTGAAGAATTACTGCCACATAGAGTGTGATTTTCCCACTACCCAGTCGCTAACCATCTTGATTTTGACACACTTTAATTTAGCTGCTCACTAGGACGTTCACTGAAATTCCGTGTCTCTTTCATAGCTGCATGGGTTTTTTTTTTTTTTTGCCAAAGCGATTTTTCTTCCTGAGAAGTAAATCTGCTTTTATTAGCCCTCTCCCCTTGGTATTACTGCAGCCTCTATAATCAGCGGCTTGGTAGATGTCCTCTTCAAAGCCACCACTGACCACGTGTTTCACTGCTCCAATGACAAGAGCCACGCTTGCTGTTTCCCCTCATGAAAGGTGGTGTCAGCGTATGGTGGCAGGGATGGAGGAGGTCCTGGCAGAGACCCAGGATCTTCTTATTTGAGACTTACAACTCCCTCACTGATGGCTGTGCCAGGAGATGGACTCCAACACAGGCTATCCCTGACTTGTGTGTTGCATATCCCAAAGCCAGACCCAGACAACATCCACTGAAATCATCTCTATAGCATCTTTACATTTTCAATATTTTTTTAGATTCTATTTATGTATTTGAGAGAGAGCACAAGTGGGGGGTGCAGAGGGAGAGGGAGAAGCAAGCTCCCCACTGAACAGGGACAGTGATGTAGGGCTGGAACCCAGGACCCTGGGATCATGACCTGAGCAGAAAGCAGACACTTGACTGAGCCAGCCAGATGCCCTTTATTTTATTTTATTTTATTTTTTTGGTGTGGTATTTCACCAGTATAAGGCTGATGGACCCTGTCGCATCCCCTCATAGTGTGTGTTTGGGAGTGGTGTGGGGGACACCCAAGGCCTTCCCCTTATTCTACACCTCTCATGTCTCTTCCCCATGCCAGACTAGAGTCAAACTCACAGGATCTTCTTACCCCACTGATTCTGCCAAGTCTGGTCCCTTGGCTGTGGTTTCGCTGGGTAGTAGGTAGGGATAGTGGGAATCTTGTTTACCTATACACATTTTTTTTTAATTCAAGTACAATTAACATCTAATGTTACATTGGTTTCAGGTGTACAATATAGTGATTCAATAATTCCATACATTTCTCAGTGCTTATCTTAAGTCTTCATCTTCCCTTCATCTATTTCACCCATCCCTCCCCCACCTCCCCTCTGGTAACCATCAGTTTGTTTTCTGCATTTGAGTCTTTTTTTTTTTTTTTTGTCTTTTTTTTCTTCTTTCATTTGCTTTTCCTTAAATTCCACATATGAATCAGAGCATATGGTATTCGTCTTTCTCTGTCTCACTTATTTCACTTAGCATTACACTCTCTAGGTCCATCCATGTTGTTGCAAATGGCAGGATCTCACTCTTTTTTATGGCTGGCATCTCCACAGCTTTAAGTATGAAGAGTGATGTTGTTAAATGGTGGAGCCATGGCTGCTGAGGATCCGGGGCATCCCAGCCAGGAGCCATCAAGGTTCCTGCTCTGCTTAAACATCTGCTTCCTCATAGGCTTGCTCAGGTTCTGTGACCCCTAGGACAAACACTAGATTGGATAATCATGAATTTCAGCTTCACCCTCTGTAGAATGGCCAAGCAAATTCCCCTCCATGCAGGGGACACCCATTCTTTCTGCTTTCGATTAACTCCTTATCATCTTTCCTAAATCAGCTCAGGTATCAACCCCTAGTCCATCTCTCGCCCCTGCAAGTGAGAAGTGACCATTCTCCCTTCCGGAAGACCAACTCCATATGTAAAATGCCTTCTCCTATCGCATCACCCCCAACACGCACATTCACCCACGATGTGACTGTGGGAACACAAAAGGGGAATTTATGATTAGGAGCAATGACACAATCAAACATGAGAATGAAGGCTTCCTATACAAATCGTCAATGGACTGTCTGCTTGTAACCACCTCTCGAGAGTCGAAAGCTACCCTTCCACATACGTGGACTTGGGAGTGTGCTCAGGATTTTCACGATTCCCTTACTAAAGTGACTTCCTCATAAAACCTGGCTTTGCACTCTATGGAGATTAAAGGGACTTAAAGTAAAACACCAATATTCCCTTCCCTGTCTGACAAGTCATACCGCAGCCTGGCTTTTTCTCCAACCTGTTGCTGGGTGGTGATATGACATCACTGAGCTGGGCACAACAGAATCCAAAATAATGGCCTTATTAGAAGAAAGCAAGCAGGCTGACTGATGCCAACTGGATAAACAGCACTATTTGCATACCAGCGGGGAGCACACATACTGACCTCTTCAATTGTTTCAAGCACAAGGATTTTAATTTAGGTTTAGTTTGATCTTTCAGATTCCTACTCTCTTCATGGTTGAAAGGCTTTCCATATTCATCTGACAGTAATACACATAATCTGTCGAAGCAGGAACTTGTTCTGTTGCTTTCTGCAGCCTGTAGTTGATTCTGCATTCAGCTAAAAAGGTGTGAGAGTTCGTCAGAGAACAGGGTAGTTGAGAAAACCCTCTGAGGAGGCAGCAGAGTTGATCAAAGCCTTTCAGGTAGTCTCATGGGTACAGTTCATGTACTCTTGATTCACAGAGAAAGGAGAGACTGGAGGGAGCATAGACGGCGGTCACTTGCCTCTGGGCCATGCCAGAAAACACTGTCAGGTACATGGATACACACGCCATTCAAAAAAGGAGATTCCATTAACAACATTAATTGCAATTTTAATAACCTTCCTTAACAGAAAGATGTTTCTTACATCTGACCTGCATTTTTCATATTGCAATTTCCTCTGCTGGGTTATTTTTTTTCACAGTGGAGATGAAAGAAATCATTCATCACCTTCTTTATTACATAACGAATGCACATTAGACTCTCCTAGCCACTACTAGGCGTTGTTTCCCTTCTTTTCTCGCTTCCAATGCGCTCATCATCTTTATTATTGTCACAGTCTCTGCCAAGTTCCCCAGATCCACAAATATCAACTTTTGGAGCACATCATTTACGAGCACTCAGTAGCATGAGTAATGAGGTGGTGACTGCTTAGTCCCAGAGTGTTATATTAGGTGAATGATTTTCCAAATTGGATTTGCTTTAAGAAACCAACATTTATTTAAACATCTATCATGTGACAGGCACAGTGCTGATTTGTGTAGCTATGTTTCCTTTAGATCATTCTGCCAGAATAAAACTAATTCAACCTGGAGAGGCTAGAGGAGCCAGGGCGGGTTTCTCCAGGCTGGAGGTGGGGAGTAGGAGTGGGGCTGCAGAAGCGGGCAGGAATCACAACGGCAAAGAGGCGGCAGATGAAGACTTCCGTGTGTGTTTCTCACAGAAGAACCTGTTTTACATCATTTTCTTTATCACCACGGAATTGTAGAACATTGGGCTGAAAGAACAGGAAGGTCATCTGAACAAGTCCATAGCATCAGGGGTGGTCTTAGCTTATCAATCAGAAGAGATCCCAGCTCTACCCCTGACTACTAGTGGGACTTTGGGAAATTTGTCTAATCTCTATGCACCTCTGTTTTGTTTTTAATGCAGTGGGACTATTCATTAATACAGTATTTCCATGAGGGTTAAGAGAGACAATCCATGCCGAATGCGTAGCACAGGATAGATGTTATTTTCAGCAGCTGTCTATTTGTTACTTAGAGTTTTCTAAGAATGGAGTCACTGTATCTATTTTCTTGCTTTCTGGTATTTTACCAATCAAGTGACCACAGCCCTTTCCTTAAACTCAACCGAAATCTGTTCAGGTTAAGGTGTTTTTTGTTGCAGCTGTTGACTTACTTTCATGTCCTCTGGGAAGAGTTAGTCAAATATTTGAGAATGAGGCACAGCCATAGGCAATTTTACCTACGCTATACTTACGTCATCCCATTGAATCCATCCTCCCTCTTCTGCCTATGAAACCATATTACAGGTGGGAGAACCAAGTCTCAGGGATGTCCAGGAAGGCCCTGACATAACACGCATAGAGCCTGGGTTCTAACCTAATCTTTCTCCCCTTTTTCCCTCTGTAATGTGGACCCCAAGTTACATATTTAGTTTCTCTTCTCACAGATTACATTATCATTTTTTTTTTCCAATTTGGCAATCAACCTCTGCTAAGGAAAAAAGTCAACAAAAATACCATTTTAGAAACATAAACCATGTTACCTATTTCAAATTATTTTTGGAATGAATAATAATAATGATGATGTTGGGTTACATGTAAAAGGTGTGGTTTAAATATGAGTGGAAAATTAAACCAATGATTAGTAGTAGCAGGTCCAAATTATTTCAGGTTTGGTTAGTTTTGACCAAGTTAGAAGGATTAATATTTTCCATCTCATCACACCTTTACTTACAGGTTAACAGGCTTTAACTCAACATGATCCTGGTAGTAGGAGTGTGCATCAAGTCCGCCTATGAAATCAACTGAAAATATAACATAGCCCCATGTGAATAAATGTGTAAATTAAAACACACAAAATACTAGGTGTTTAAAATAGAACACACGAAAATAATATCAACAAAAAATCTGTCTACCACAAATGGAGAAAGTGTACTCAATATAAAAGCCTGCTAAAAATATTAGCAATGGTCAAAAAACAGGGAACTTTTAAGAAACACATTAAGAACTTGGCCTCTTATGGACTACAAAATCAAAGTTGTTATTGACTTTGGTGAAAAATGAGGTAACATTAAATAACATTAGATTTTAAATAATGTGTTTGTCCTTGGGCATACGGATATGCCCTTTCCCCCTATATATCAGAAGATATACCTTCTCATCTTGTTGCCAGAATCCATTTTTTTTTCTTAAGAATATTTATGACATCATTAGAAAGACCTTTGAGAAGTCACACAATCTATGTCCATGCCTTTTGTCCTCAAGCCGTCCTTGACAAATAGGCATCTTTTGCAAAGGAGTTTTCATCTCTTCTCTGGTTGCATGGTACTGGTCTCACAGTCTGTATAGAATCACTACGTTGGTGACATTCATTCTAATTTCTTTCCATTTTGATCACAGCTTCTGTCTTTCTTTTCCAATCACAATGTCCATGGCTAATCTTAGTTTACATCTTTTGTTCTTTTTTTTTTTTTTTGGTAATCAATTAAAACTATTAGTTACTTTACATCAAACTTTGGTTATATTATGGCACTATAACATGAACAGATATGTAGGCATAGAGGGACACTGAACTCTCGATGAGGGAGCATGTGTTTAGGTATGTAATATTGTGTCATATCCTTAGCTCAAGACAGGCATATCAGTGACCTGTGATTTAGAGAGGGATGACTGTGCTGGCCTCGAGGAGCTCCTGTCTGAGGTTACCAGAAGTTCTACTGAAGCCTTGACTTAATCTGGGTGTAGTCGATCAATTCCTGGCCTGCTGTATCCTTTTACCTCGATTGAAGAAGCTGAGATAAGGCTGGGTCAATCAAAGCTTCACCAGATCACTGTGTAGACATGAGCTTTGGAGTCCCGTAGGGTACACAACAACCAGGTGGCAAGGACCATTTCCAGTCAATCCCCTTGGAGACTAGAGGAACCTGAAACCCATCATTTTCCTACCAGGTCACATAAGTTACCCGGACACTATGTTAGGGAAAGAAACAGTGAAAGAGGAGTCAGTCTGTGACACTGAAAAGATCTTCCCAGAGAGAATAAGCAGTGCTTAGGGACCATTTAAGTGGTTGGATGGGATAAAATTTTTATCAGATTAGATATCTAATCAAACATCAACTCCATCTTGCTGACCAATGGGTGGGAAATTAGAAGGAAAATCATACCAATTAAAAGTTGAATGAGCATGTGATTACAAGGCACTTTCCAAAGTTAAAGAGGGTTTTATAAGTAAACAAAATTATAAATATATACATTTGTGAATAAAGTCATTCAACTGAAAAATCATATTCAAAGTGAAATCTTTTATAAAAATAAAGATAGCATATATCTGTATGCTTTATAATTTTTTCAAAGACTTATTTATTTATTTTTGAGAGAGAGAGGGAGCAGGGAGAGGAGCAGAAGAAGAGGGAGAGAATCTCAACCAGACTCCCTGCTGAGCACAGAGCCCAGTGCAGGGCTTGAGACCAGGACCCTGAGATCATGACCTGAGCAGAAACCAAGAATCGGATGCTTAACTGACTGAACCACCCAGGTGCCCTGATATCTGTATGCTTTAAAGCCAAACAAAAAGAAAACTTTTTTATATTGATCATTTGAACATTAAAATGTAACATTAACAGAATCATTTTTGGTATAAATTCATGGACTATATGAATCTGCTCCTTTGCCATCACTATCTCTAATATACCAGATCAGCAGAATATTCCTGCAATACATATTTTTTCAACATGGTTTTATTATTTTTATAGATTAATTTATAATCTTATCCAAAAATTTTTTTATGGTTAGTAAAGTTGAAATTGTTGATATCTTAATCAACTCTGTAAATCATAATATTTTTAACTATGGAAATACTCTCTATATAAGGCGCTGGTAATCTCCAAGCAAGTTTGCTAAAGAGTGGATATGTGTAATGTTATTTAGTCCAAATACTCTCCCAGGTACTGTTATTTTTACCTTCATTTAGTGTATCTTTGCCAAGATTTGTATAAGACAACAAAATAAATTGTTATCTCTTTATGATTTTTAAAAATCAAATATAAATGCTGCAACATTTTTAGGCCTTCTTGTAAATCAGCTTGTTTTCATTTTGGTGCAGAATATAAATTTTTCCAATTAAAAACAGGAGCTCTATCAAAAAAGTCTTTTCTCAGGTTGAGATATTTCAAGAGGAAATTATAAAATTGAAAAATTAAATCTTGCATAACATTTGAGTTCTCATTATTTAATTTGCCTGGTTCTCTTCGGTCTGCATTAATTTCAATATTCTCCTTTTTATAAATTCTCAATTACTGCCATTTACTAAAAGGTGCAAAGGATGATTTTGGGGTGCTTCATCTGTTGAATGATTCAATTTAAATTTTTCAACTGACCTTGAATGCAGTGCAACTAAAATGTAGAAGTCTTATTTCTAAAAATGCTCACAACTATTGGAGGAAAATTAGACTGATTTTCAAAGTATTTTTTTAAAGGCTCAAATGTTCTTAACTCTGATGGATGAAAAGAAGCAAAGACAGAAAATGTATTCCACTATCCTCAAGTTCTTTTTGTTTGTTTTCAACATCAAGCTCATTACCACAATGTTTTCAGGTAAATGCAAATCAAAATCAGATAATAACAAATATTAGTGGGGATGTAGAGAAATTAGCACCCTCATACACGGCTGGAGGGAATGTAAAATGGTGCAGGCACTTTGGAAATCTTTCCTAAAATGGTTAAACAGAGTTACCATATGACCCAGTAGTTCCACTCCTAGGTACAGACCCAAGAGAAATGGAAACATTATGTCCTTGAAAAAATTTGTACATAGATGTTTATAACAGCATTATTCATAAAATCTGAATGAAGAAAAAATATTCTAGTTTATTTACGCTACTGTGTGTATGTAAACACTTATAATATATGTAATGTATGTTATAATATTAGGTATATACTTATATTATAGGTATTATATATACATTTATATATACATATACATTTTGAAAACGAGAGTTTCTATTTTTGTCGGTAAAACATTGCAGCTTCGTTGGGAGGCAGTAACAGTTCTGAGTACCCTCTACTAACCCCACTTTGCAGCTATGAGCTGGGGCACCTCTGCCTGGCACTGAAAGGAGTTAGCTGTCTCTGCTATTCCTGTCCAAACACCTACTTTTAATCATTGATTGACCTACATGCTCTCCTTGAAAGAAAGGTCCTAGTTCCACTGTATCCTTAAAGATTTGGGGAGAAGACGGGGTGGGGGTGGTGGTGTTGGTTTTCTTACATATTTAACCATGTGCTAAAAGGAGAATTCTACTCATTGCACTTGCTTCTCACACATCTTGAGGAGAATTTGAGCTTGGTGTTCTATCAGTTTACCCAACCTAGATTACCCTAATACAATTATTAATGGTAATATTTCATTTGAAAACCAAAAAATCTAGGACAAAACCTAAACTAGACAGGATGCCAGGACTCAGGATGCCCTGAGTAAACAGGGACCATCTCAACCCAACGAGGACACATGGTCATCCCAGTGGGTGGCACGATAAATGAGCTACACTTTCTCCACATATCAGAATTCCAGTGTGAGGTAAATTTTTCAAATCTTTAAAATTAAATAGCGCATATTGGTAAAACTTAAAATATCAAGCTTCTAGAACTAGACAAAATCTCCAAAATGGTAACTATTAAGGAAAAATTATTGAAAAGTAGGTAATTTTATTTTTATTTATTTATTTATTTATTTATTTATTTATTTGATAGAGATCACAAGTAGGCAGACAGGCAGGCAGAGAGAGAGAGAGAGAGAGGAAAGCAGGCTCCCTGCTGAGCAGAGAGCCCAATGCGGGGCCCAATCCCAGGACCCTGAGATCATGACCTGAGCAGAAGGCAGAGGCTTAACCCACTGAGCCACCCATGCGCCCCTGAAAAGTACGTAATTAAAAAAAAAAAGTTAGATACTTAAGAAACTGAAAATAGCAAGAATCCTTTATGGATGGAAGGCAATGTGGTTTTTTTTGGCAACAGAAACCTACAAGTCCATGAGATGATGATGTTCCTGTATAAAAATTAGTTTTTTTATATGTATACCAACACTTGCCATTTGCCAGAATGGGAAGATTGTTCAAGTAAAGCAGTAAATTGGAGCCTAAATGGAGGATGAGTGTGCAGATTCTGAAAGCTTTCTTTTTTTCCTAATGATGTCAAATGCTTTTAAAAAATGATTTTTTTGGAGAGAGTCAAGATGGCGGAGAAGTAGCAGGCTGAGACTACTTCAGGTAGCGGGAGATCAGCTAGATAGCTTATCTAAAGATTGCAAACACCTACAAATCCAACGGGAGATCGAAGAGAAGAAGAACAGCAACTCTAGAAACAGAAAATCAACCACTTTCGGAAAGGTAGGACTGGCGGAGAAGTGAATCCAAAGCGACGGG